GAGTGCTACGCCACAGACGCTATCGGGGGACAACGATGATCTGACCATTTCAGACACCAACACAGACCATCACGACACTCAGAGATCAGAGTCATCTTTAATTGTAGACAGAACGGATGATCTAGTCCCTGGTTCTCAGACGTGCTGGACTCTGGAGGAGTTTGAGCTGAAACGGGCTGCGGTGGATTTTGGGATGGATGAAGAAGTCCTGCAATTGGAGTCTAAAAAGATGGTGGATAACATCCTGACAAATGCCCTCGCTGCCCTGCACAAGATGGAAGCATCTGAGACGGAGCGTGAGGTCCTGTCGACCCATGAACCCAGCGAAGGCTCCGAGGCAGTGCTGTTTGAAGGATCAGATGGCCGTGGAGATGGCGGCACTAATGCAGAGCATCAGTTTGGCGTGATGTTGACGGACCAGACATTGTCTGCGGTTCTCGAGGGAACGCTAGCAGGCCATGTGGACTGCAGCAGGTCACCGCCCTCCTCAGGGTACGAGTCCATCGCTGGCTCCGACACGGACATCAGGTGCATCGTGGGCGTGGCCTCTGACGTCGTCACTAGCAGCGCTCCAATCGGCTCTCAGAATGAGAATCAAGCCGTTCTTGAAAATCTTTCTGAAGAAAAGAACGTGGATGGAACCCGTAAGAGCAGCGGGAGAAACTCTGTGCTCAGTGCTGCTGCTGATGAGCCATTATCCCCTAATCTCCATAAAACAGACATCAAGCTCTTGTCGGAGGAGTCTCTCTGGCGTGAGCAGCACACGGGTGACGTCTCCGTATGTGAAGCGGAGTGGGTAAGAGGGGAAAAGAGACCTCAGGATACAGCCAAAGACAATGCAATGAGCAATAACTGTAGACTCAGCCTGAATGGTTCCTGTGGCACTTCTGGCACGGCTCCATCAGCGCATCAGGAGAGTCTTCAACAAAGCCAAACTCTCAGTGCAATGGGAAAGTCAGACCCCGTTAGCCACAGTCTTGCATCTGACACAGCGGATGCAGATATGATGTCAGAAATCCCACAAAGCCATCAACCTGAGAAGACTGAAGGCAGTGGTGAGCAGGAACAGGTCTGCCGAGTCTCTCGGGCTGGAATAGATTCATGTGTCCTGCCATCCGTGACTGAAGTCCACCATCCTTCTCAGTGGGCCACGGTCCAAGCGTTTCGCTGCGACGTCACCGATTACCAAAGCCTGAGCCCCGCTACACTCCAGACAGAGCTCGGCGTGAACCGAGCAGATGCTGGATCGCCAGTCGTGTCAGTTTCCGGTCGTAGAATTCACCTCGACGCCGTGGACAGCTCCAGCAGAACTGCGGCTGTCGTTCCCCAACACTCCCGGTTTCACGATCTTGACCTCCACCAGGTCGATGGAGGCTTCGCCATCATCAGCGAGGAGGAGGAGAGTGACATGGTGTTCGTGAACGACATGGGGCCCATGCACAGTCCTAGCACACGTCGAGCCAAAGCATACCCCTTCTCCCTGTCCCCCATCTATGAGGAGGAGTTCGGCCGCGAGGAGGCTTCAGGGCAGCAGACACTGCAGGTTCCTCCAGCGACAGAAGAGGAGCAGAGGAGCGTGGAGCAGCCGGCCTCGTCCATCCTCTCCCTCTTGCAGTCGGTCAGCGAGAAGTTACAGTCCAGTGTGGTCTGCAGTTCAGTCAAGGAGTCCGTCCACGCACCGCTGAGCGGAGACGACAGTGAGGACGATGACGAGGACTCCAGCATCCTACAGCGCCGCCAGCTCATCGAGGCCAAACCTGAGCGTGAGACTGCTAATGACACTCCGGATAGAATACAGGAGGAACGGGAATGTGATGACACACTGTTTAATATTGGAAAGAACACCAATACACCTTTCTATCAGTACTTGAAGTCTGGAATAATGCCATCAGGTGATGAAGAACCTGAAGACACTAAACGCACTGTGTGTCGTAGCGCAGGCAACACAACGGTAAGCAGAGTCTGCTTCTGGAGACCCAGTGTCCTGCAAAGTTTATTTCCATCCTGCTCCAGCACACCTGGCCTGATCCTGGTTATCTGGTTCAGGTGTGTCTGATCTAACTCTGCAGGACAGTGGGTCTCCAGGAGCAGGGTTGAAGACTTGTGGTCTAGAACAGGGGTGGGCAAACGTCTTGACTCAAGGGCCACATCAAGTTTTTTTTTATATAAGTGAGGGGCCGCATAGTATATGCATGACAAATTAAGCTTTATTCCAAATTGACACTCTGATACTACTGTACTACATGTATACTTGTATGTGGAAGTATACGTGGCAGTTCTATTCTCGTACCATCTCTTCTTGTTTTCTTAATGAGAATAAAATAAGTCACATTTGATCATTTCATCCAGAAAAAATGTAAAGTAAATAACACGTGTTTTTGTTCCCCTCAATCCACAACAGATCCCTTATATATTAATAAGCAAAGGGGCCCAAACATTTCTTTAGCATATGTCGCAATAAGAGATAAATCCAACCCTGGCGATATTACTGAGCACATTCTAATTCTGACTGAATATATACTGTATATGTAACAGTTATATACAGCACTGCAGACTAAAGCACCATCTATTGGGTTTTGCTGATGTTGCATCAATAAATTAGTCATTTTGAACCAACTGCCTCACCAGCGGATGAAAGAGCCCGCGGGCCAGAGTTTGCCTCCCTCTGGTCTAGAATGAGATATGCTTATATTTATATTAACAAGCTTTTAAATCCTTCATGTCCTCACAGGGAGAGATCGGAGGGTTCGGAAAGGTCAACCCTAGACCTGCAGCAGTAAGTTCAGCTCAACTTGGGCATCTCATACGAATGGTTGTCTGTTTAGTTTGAGCACTTGAGTCTTTGAACAGCTTTTGGCATTTCCTTTGCATTGCCCAATGGGGCTTTGAATCAGTAAAAAAGGGCTCTAACTCTGTTTTAAGTCATATTTGTTATGTTATCAATTGCTGGAATGTGTTGGCACTGCAGTAACAGAATGCTATTCCACTCTCAGCTTGCTAATAGTGCCAAATAGTCATATATTTTGCAGCACAAAAAATAAAAGACTCAAACGACTCCTCAAGCTATATCCTCACGGGCTTGATTTGTTCAGATTGTGCCAGTGTCTCAGTGTCAGGAGTTTAATGGTAGCGCGCACATCGGCTGTACTAACCCATGTGTGCACAAGGATCTGAAGTTTCCTTATGAACGCAGGTGCTCATCTACGAGAGTCAGTCGCTGAGCGGTGAGAGGAGAGACATCTGTGATGACGTGGAGGATGCTGGGAGGGATCTGTTTGCTGACAGGGGAACGCTTCACGCGCTGAGAGGATGGTAAGCATGTTTACCTTCATCAGATAATAAGCCTGAGTAAAATAATCAAACACAAACACACAGCTGACAGTCAGAAACCTTCCTGGCCGAGTCAGAGCTGAGATGAGTTGGGAATGATTTTTTTATGGATGTGAGCCGTAACAGTCCAGTTGTGCTGTTGTACAAGAATGAGATGAGCTCATATCATAATTTTGTGTCTGGACTCCCATTGGCTCTCAGAGAGAGACTGTGTGTGTGTGTGTGTGTGTG